TTTTTATCTAAATATAATAACATATATAGTAATGTATGATTAATGAGTATTCAGTGTTGCAGGTTGATCAAGTTCCTGTGACCAATATAATTGATTATAATTGGTGCTACGAGACCACCAAAACTCAGGCCTTTTGCTGAAGTGCATCAGTGAAATCCTGTCCATGTACCTTAAGGTGAATATGATTGTAAATTATCTTTCATATTCAGAATTACTGTACCAGAGAAACAGTCTACACAAGAATGAAGGCAGTCCAGTAGTTTAATAGAATAGAATAGAGTAAGATAGGTCGGCCTTCCACACCCACCCTTCAACTTGACATTAGTCTTCTATGCATGCTCATCAAAGGGAACCATATTTAATCCTCTAGGACAGTAAAAGTATTGTTTGAAGTAAGTTTGAGGCGCATGTGTAAGGATTGGCAGGCTCAGGGTTTTATCCTCAGTGAATAAAAATGTCTTACCACGTTAGAAATCATTATTGTTTAGAAATAATAGTTGCAACTACTTGAAGCAGCTGGCCTTAGAAATGTGCTAGTTTGAGTGCTTCATTAAACTGCAAAACTTTTGTTTGTTTCTATGTATTCTGAAAGGTTATTAATATATATCTTTTAATGAGTCTAAGCTTTTTAGTCCTTTCTTGCTTTTGATAGGAGAAAAAGTGTGTTTCCATGTCAACTGACACATTTGTTCACTTATATTAAAACCATTGTGTGAATGAAATTTATTTCACTGTATGAGATGATTTGTTGAAGGTCAAGAAGACTAATGTTAAACAGACTCATTTGGCTATATTTTTAAAATGCAGATCATCAGTTCACTCTCATTTGAACATGTTCAAATGCAAGTAATGTATAAGTAGGAATTCCTGGAAAATGTTTCTGTTCATGACTGCAGCATAAATGCAATGGACACTCAATTTTATTCCATAGACAAAGAATTCAGAATTTCTCAAACAATTAAATGATCAGACATAAGGAGATAGAATTGCTGCTACAGAACGGATAACCTGACTGGTAGGAGAATGCCTAGCTAAGCCAGTTGTTAGCACTCAGGAGGTTTAGGCTATAGGCTATCCAGTCCCTGATAAAGCCCACCACCTTGTAAGTGCTCTTGTTTCTGAAGACCAAGGCAGATTCATGCCTGGTATTGGAATGCTTGAGAAGTGTCAGGAGAAGAGACAGAAGCCTGGGGACAGTTAATCTCTACTGCACACAGTCATGCACCTCCAGAGCCACCTCCTGCTATGCTGCTTATATCACCATGAATTTGCATTCTTTGAATGCATACTTTATTTATCCTTTTCTTATTCATAGGGCAAGCTGGGTTGAAGCAGTGTCACACTTTTCTTTTCCTTTTCATTGTTCCTGAGGAAATGCAATTGATTCCCCTCCTCATCTTCCAAAAAACAAAAACAAAAACAACCAACACTGAAATTGTTGACCAAAAAAGATAACAAAGCCACCATGTCACTTAGTTTATTACTTCTCCAGAGTGGCTGAGCTACCTTTAAGGCAATTCTTATAAAATTTCCTGCTAATCAGGAGTATTCAAACATTTGAAATTTGCATTTTTGTTGCAGTTAACATTTCCTCTTAGCCCTTTTATTATATCTAAAAGCAGGAAAGAAGCACATCTTTGTAATGATATGATACATGTCCCATATGATGGACGTCCTGTAGAAAGTGGTAGTTCCTGTTTTATCTTCCATTGTAAACTAAGGCACAAACTTGCTTAATTTCGACCACATGTGTAAGTTGAGGGAAGGAAGAAAGGAGGGAAGCCCAAAACATGTAGAACCATATATTTCAACTTACACTTACTAGTAAATAAACTTAAATCATCATAACACAACTCTTACTATTATAATACCATTATTTCTATTGTGAGAGCCAAAGTAATTAATCTACGTATTTATGATCCTTGTCTATGATTAGTTTTCTGTTACAGGACGTGATAAACGTGTGCTGTTATGACTATGTTTTATTTACTAATATTGTCCTAAGAAGTGCTGAACACTTCCTGCTGAAGAAGCTGAAGAGAAATCCATGAAGATATCTTTCATTTTCCGTGACAGTGAATGATGTTTCCATATATAAACATAATAATAGAGTCATTACACATGCACTCACATTATCATCACTGCTGTGCGTTCAGTGTTATTCAAAACAAGGCAGGAAGCCAAATTTTCCTAGTTTCCATTTTGATTTAAATTGTATTTGTAATAAAGAGATTTTCACTCAATCAAAATGCAGTTTCATCTTGGTTCAACAAACCTCCCCATTTCTTTTTTTTTTATTATTATTATTTTTCTTTTATTCTAGGTCACTCAGTCCTGATACAAGTGAAATTTTCCTCTGGTGGTGATAACAGCAGTACTACTCAATGAACTATAACAAGGGCTCTAAATGCATCTCCTGTAGCATGCCACAGTGATTTGCAAAAGTGAGAATAAATCAAAGCAGTGAAGAGATGCCATGTTGAGCCAGAAGCTAAATGTTGCATCTTGTTGCATGAGGCTAGGGGTAGAACAGATCCTGTTTTTCTGGCAGCACAATATCTTTGTGCTTGTTACCTTCAATCCAACCCCATTAAAACAATCATTCAGAATCTGCAGGAAATTGTCACCTCTTTCTTTCATGCAATGGCAGCTGGTATTGGTGCCTACACACATTTCTCATTTCCTTCAAGATTTTCAACACACACAAAAAAAGAAACTTAATTTATATTAAAAAATGTGTCAGCTTACCCTGAGGCTCAGCATGGGCACCAGGGAAAAAATGAAAGATAAATGCCTCTAGGTGAACTGGCAGAAGCTCTAATTCTCCACTCACTCTACTGCTACACAGTATGCGTCGCATTAATCATTTCACATAGGCAGGCATTTAAGAAAACTTCAGCAATTTAAAATAAAGATGCCTTACCCTAAACTTAATAATAAGAAGACTGTATCAAGCTCAGTTCACACATACTGTATATCCTAATAGAAGAGATGTAGAATAATATTGTAATCCTCTGTGATGCAATTTTTATTGTTGTTTCTTTTGCTTATACAGCCATGTCCCGTCTTCTGGGCATTTCCCGTGTGTGTATCTGTACATATATAATGTTGTCATTTGTCTTATTCCACTGCTGACATACATAGGATGTTTTCTACCTTCCACTTTTCTTGCGTGGCTGGAGAAATGCATTACATGATCCTAGTGAGCTCCATTATGCCTCATTCCAACTTGAGTATAGATTCTCTAACTTCTGTGCTGGGGGAGTGAGGTAAGGAAATATGTTTCTTGTTTTTCTAGCTTAGATAAGTCATGAATTTTTTAATATTGTCTCCTCCCCAGTTCTAAAATAATTTGGTGCTCTACATGCCTAACCGTGCTGAATTGTAGAGCCATAGAATTACCAAGGTTGAAAAAGACCTCCAAGATCATCCAGAATAACTGTTTACCTGTCACAAATATTTCCCCACTAAACCATGTCCCTTAGTACCGCATCTACACATCTCTTGAACACCTCCAGGGATAGTGTCTCCACCATCTCCCTGGGCAGCCTGTGAGGAGAGTTTTGAAATAGGAACAACGGGTGAGAGCAGCTGACCAATAGCCAAGTGAGGAATCGCAAACAACAAGCAAAGTGTGTGAGACAGTGTTAACAGGTACAAAATAGGGCAGAAGCAAACCTGTCCCATATGTATGCACGTGAACAGGTAACTTCTGACAGGATAGCATGACGAAGGAAGTTCTCATCCCTTTCTGTAAAACCCATGTGGATACCTCTCTGAAGCACTGTCTACTAGCTCTCATGTTATAGGAAGGACCCAAGAAGAATTAGAAGCTTCCGTGTAAGCGCTATGATCTCCCTGGGAATGTAAGAGCATAGTATGATAGTATGTATGACTGTATAGCTGCAATGGATGGCTGCAGGCTTTTTGGGAAAGACAAGTTGCTGTGGTGAGGTGGGAAGTTGCCCTTTGTGAATGAGAATGGCAGGAATACATGTAGTCCTGCATAGGGGTAAATGGGTAGATGAGAAGCCAGCTGTGAGCTGATCAAGATTAGTAGGTGAAAGTGTTTAAAGATCCAATTAAGACAGGCATTCTGCAGGACTTCACACTTATGAACCAGGAATGATACACACACAAAAAAGAAAACACCACAAAAACAAAGTGCACAAGAAATGAAAGAAGGGACACGTGACCCAGGACTGCATGACCTCCAGAAGTCCCTTTCCACACCAGCCAATCTGTGATACCTGTGATTCTATAACTTTCTGCAGTCCATTCTTCAGTGCTCATGAAGCAGCGTAGCATTTAAAGGGCATGTGAATCTTTTTTCCACAGTTCCAGTTACCTCTCTCAGGACATGCATTTGCTGAGTGCCAAAATTTCTGCAATCTCCTTAACCTTCAGAAAATATTAGCTTATGGTATGCGCTGCCAGTACCACTGCAGAAACAGCATGTTTAAATGTTGCCTGCTTTGGTAGGTCAAAAGGAATTCATTGAAAAGTGTATATTTAAACAGTACTGCTATGACACAAAAGGTGATGTGGATGTGTGCGCAGTTGGAGGCTAGAAGTGCAAGATCAGAACACCAGGAAGGAAAATGCTTTGAATGGCTGGGCATGAATTTAAACAGCAGGAATGATAGTATTGCCTGCAGTAGTAGTTTGATCACACACAACAGTGAGGTACAGTTCTTCATTTCCTTTTTTCTCTTGCCTTTTTCTTCAAAGTTTAGTGATTTGTATGTGTTTTCAAACAGATGTGGTTGGATTCACTGCACCACTGACTGAGCAATAAGAAATTGGCCCTTCAGTTCTTTGAAGGAAATGCTAAGGATTGAATCCAATTCTTTAGTTGGCATAGGATGGTATTTTTCCACTGAAGTCAGTGTTGCTGCTGCAGTTTACAGCTTGAATGCCACAGAATGGATAGAGTACAGGAGAATGTGAAGAAAAAGGTGTAACTTGGTAATACCTATTAGAGAGTTGAGTAGTACAGTTTAGAAACTTTCTTCATTGTAGTGAAATTGAACTCCTCTTGGATCAACGGTTGAATATGAGTTGCACATCTTTTGAAGGGTCTTAGAGAGATTCTTGGGTCCGCAGAAGAATACTCCAATACTATTGCTGTAATCACAATAACAACAACAAAAAAAACATAAAAGCAGTAAAATGGATATACTGCAACTTTTGACCACCTCAAGCTTTGTATCAGTTGAAAGACTCTTTTGAAATGATTTTTTGAGAAATACACTTGAAAAATTTTGTGTAATCATCACAAAGTACTACAGTATAATTATTGTAATGCTGCAGTGTTTATTATGTCATACTGACTTATTTATTTGGATCACTGCATTAGAGGTCATAAATTATTTTAAGTCATCTTTGGTTTTGATTTTCATACTCTTTTTATTGAGAAAAGCAAACATCTGTTTGGGCTGGAAATTTAGAATGCCTTTTCTCCAGATGAGTTAATGCTCTCTTTTCCTAAAAATGCATAAATCTCTCAGCTATTTCTGAGTCATTGTTTTGCTGTTGTTGCATGTTTCTTTGGTTGGGTATTTCTGCTTTCGTTTCTTTGTAGTTTTTATTTATTCATTTATTTATTTTAATACTTTTCTGTCGGTGGACAGTTTTTTAAATGGCAGATTTAAACAAAAATTGTAAGTAGTTCTCATAAAACAACAAGAACATGACTAATGTAACAAACAGTTTTGTTGATAAGTGCACAAGTGTGTTACAAAGAACTGGAAACATGATTCCTTGCTGGAGAGTGCTTTAAAGAACTGGCTTATAAGTATACAGCACATATTATTTTGAAACATATACATGTGGACAGAGATATGCACACATGCTGTTCTACTGAGGGAAGCTGAATCTACTTAGACACAATGTAAGTGATAAGTGAGTGTGATTTTCAAAAGGTTTTGCTCCATTAAAGGAGTGGCTGTAGGTCTGATTTTGGTGCCAAGGCCTCAAAAGTAGTGCCCATATAGCTCCAGTTCTCGACTACATTAAGTTCAGCTTGCAGTGGTACACTCCTGCTAATCTGCAAAGACTGTTGTACAATGGGAAACTTCGTGGACTTAGATGTAGGGACTCAAAATATAGTTGGTTCATACAAGCTAATTGCTCTATCACACAGTATAAACTCTTGAGCCTTCTGTAACTCAGAGCAAGGAAAGGTAGGACATTTTTTGTGATTCAGTGTACACAAGGAGTGCAGTGTTTTCTTTAAGAGGTCAAAATTGACAAGTAACGCGTACATCTATTTTCAGGAGCAAATACAGATTTTTCTGTCACTTAGCACTGGCTTTCTAAGGAAATATCACAAGATCCAGTGTGGAAAGTTAATACCTATCTCCTTCCCTGAGCTTCAGAAAAACAGACTTTTCTCAGCTGTACTTAAAAAAGTAACAAAATGATTATATTTTAACTATAACTTTAAAAGCTCTGTTTTTACAGCAGAACCCATATAAAAGGTCTTTCAAAAATCATGTTTTCTACCCTTGGCCTCTTTCTATTTTTAATCTTTCCTTATTTCCTGATTGTATTTATTTTGACCTCTATCAAATAGTTTTTCTATTACTGTTATTTTTGCAATTTTATGGTATTCTTGTAGCTTACTGTATTCTCTTTGATCTCCTCCCTTTCAGCTTTTTCTTGAGTCTTTTTCATCTTTAAAAAAAGTTTTCTTTCTTCTTTTTCTTTTTGTATCTCTGTCTCTCAAGTGCAAGCCTTTATTTTGCTTTAGCAGGTAAATGTTTGGAAATCATAAAGAGTCCCAAGGATTCTGGAATTTTCTACCACCGAACACAAAATATTTCAAATTCTTGCTTCAAAGGCTTTCAGGAACAAAGAAGCTTTTCTCAGGCCACTAGTGAATCCACCAAGTTCAAATGAACTGTCTTTGCCAGCAGAGATGAACTAATAACAGAACAGCATAGTCTTGCAAGAGTAGCCAAATATGTTCAGTGAACAAACATATCCTTGACATCATAAGAAAAAAATCACAGTTTATCTCTTTAATAACCATCTTCAAGGGAAATTAATGCTACTTTGTCCTTTGTGCAGAACAGTAATTGGATTGTGTGTTTCAATTATATCTGGACAAAGGCCAGGATATTGAAATACTTCTAAATATTAGATTTTCTTCTCCAAAAATTAGATTTTATTGGCATTCTCTTTCCGAGATTTCTTCATTAAAAGCTTCATTAAGCATAAATCTTCTTTCCACACAGCAAAAAAACTAAATTATTTTAAAAGGGTCATTTAGAAAGGTTTGCCCTCCCCTCCTCCCACTGTTTATGCTGAGAGACAAGTTACCTAACAAGGTTAGAAGCCAACCTGCCTTACCTAGGATGGTTTTCAGCTAGCTGCTTGAACTCATTGTCCCAGTTTGGCCTTCCATAGAAGGTCTTCTGCCTCAAACCAGTAATTACATCCACTTTCTCATCATAATGCAGGGCTATGTGAGTAGCCTAAAGGCAAATTTGCAAGGTAATAATTTTAAAATCAACAACATATACTCAAAGTAATAGGAGAAAGCAATAACACTGCTTCTCAGTGAAAGACAGAAGTATTAATAAAGAAAACCATACTTATCAAAAGACAGTGAGGAAAGAGAGGAGTATAGTAGTGCAGGAGTACAAAAGAAGTCAAAAAGTGCCTGTGACCTCAAAGGAATTCAGCTTCTTGAAACTAAATGTTTGATATGAGTAGGGATCAAATACCTGGTTTTAATACCTGGGCCTAATTTGATCTGAGAAGTAGCCACTGAAAAACAGTGCTCTCCCTCCACAGTCCCGGGGTGCTCCAGGAGCAGGGACAGCACCAGTGTAGGTGGGCAAGCAGCACAACTCTAAGATTTCTCCTGAATCACATAAGGAACTGCGCAGGATAATAAGGCACTGCTGACAGGACAAAAGGGTGTGAAGGGAAGGAGGTAACTTGACGGAGCACATGAGTGAAGAGACTCAGCCATTTCAGCAAGAATAGTTGTCTGCCTAATTGACTTTTGGCCTGATATTTGCTCAAGGGGGAGGCGAAATGTTGATGGCTGGAAGGTGAGGGCAGATTTGTGCTTTATTAAGATCATGAATAGCTTCTTTCAAAACTTGTTTTAGGTAATACCCTGTGATATTGCTAATACAGACTATTATGACTGCCGTATACTTTACACTAGGAGATTTTTCTGAATACAATTTAGTGTACATACCTCATTCCTTGACAGGAACCCTAATTTTTAATATCTACTAGGCATTCTTTACATTCAATGGAGGCAGCAAGAAATAAAATAGTAGAGTAAAGAGTTACCTGTGAGAGTTTTTGACAGGTGCCTAACTTTGATCACAGTGTGATCTGAGTTTGGTTTAAAAAAAAAAAAAAAAGAATCAGAGAGAAAAAATCAATTCATTTAGGTCTAGGTAAGGACTAAATAAGCTGAATTAAAGCTACCTACTCTAAAGATTAAGTGCCACTAGGTAAGATGATCCAATGAAATTATAGGATGGTAAATTTAAGGGCAATCAGAGAAAATATCTTCTAAAACAGTATGAATTGGTCAATGGTTTTTTTGCAAAAAAATGTTTTGAATGTAACAGGGTTCAAAATTATGCTGGATGCATACACAAAAAACATGAAATATAATATAATAAATAATAATAATAATAAAATTATCTGATGTTTTATAGTTCAGTGCAAAAAAAAATATGCTAGAATCTGTTTAAAGAAAGTTCCAAATACATATGGACAAAATGTCCTTTCACAAGATTCTGGAGGCTCCCTGCACTTTTGTTTTTTTTGGAACAGCTGCAAGCCAGGGCTACACAAGACAACATACTGGACTGGAAGGATCACCAGCTTGTTTTCTCTGTTCCTGTTTTTCTACATGTGAGAGGGAAACAGCCTGGTGTCTTTATATTTACAGTTCTTTGTCTGTCTGCTTCATCCATCATTCATTCAGCTGTTCCTGTTCCTTATGTTACCATACTGGAAAAGCAAGGTACATTAACTCAGACTCATAAGAGTTTCATTATTACCTGACTTTCGTCCCAGCCAGTAAGAAATATGTGATAACTTAGGAAATCATTTTTCCCTTTTTCAACCATTTTTGTTTCCAAAAGGAACAGAAGATCAGCAAACCACTCAAATGTGGACGGATCTCGGCAAATCCAGTAAAAATAAACCTGTCAGATAAAAATAAAGAGATTTAGAAAGAAGAAAACTTCCAATGAAACTTCCTAATGATTAGGACGAGTCATTAAATACATTGTGTACAACTTTCCACTATGAATTTGAACATAGTAACAACTTTCCACTATGAATTTGAACATAGTAACACATCTATTCAGTGATGTAGAGGTTCTATCGTTTACAAAATTTTATTTTCATCTTCAAGATTGAGTATTCATATGTTAGCAAAGATAGACAGTGTACAGGTTTCCTATTTTCCCCTGCCAGTACTTCTTAATTTAACATAGAATATCTAGTCCTGCATTTCTTGCAAATAACTTGATTATCCTTTGGAACTTTGTATTGATTTTCAGTTATAATGAAAAGGGAATTTCAATTTCATTCAGCACTGAAGCAAGGAATTCTTGTTTCTCAAGATCTTATGCCACAGGTTAACAGTAGATGTAGTCAATAGGTATTAGTTATGTACTTCAAGTCAAAAATTCTGTATAAAAAAGCCTAGAGAACATAGCTAGTTGCTTTTTTAAAGAATGTCTGGTTTAAATTGGAGCTTAAAACTTCTGGAAAAAAACATTAAACTGTAATTTTAAAGTTGCCAAGGAGGTCTAATGAACTACTGTCCCATGATGTAGTTTTGTATTGGTTAAAGACCTCATCTCTATGAAAAATTTAAACAGTTTTTCTCATCCATACTTCTCTAGCTTCATCTTCCACTTGGTGGATATTTTTTTAATGTTGTATCTTGGAGTGGAGAATCTATTATTAAAGCTTTGTTCCCCAGGCAGAAATTAGAAGCTGGAATCAAGATGTCCTATAATCTTCTCTTTGTGAAACCAAATATTCCTGGAATCTGTTATTAAGAGGCTAATTTTTCCATTCCTTAATAATTTCTGTGGCTTTTTTTTCTGTATGTTCCTTTATTGCATTAACAGTCACGAACAAAGCAGAGTGTTTCTTATTTATTGGGAACCTCGTATAGGGAAATGCTTGCATAGGAAATCATATCTTTCAAACCAGATGATCAGTTGCTGTTCCTATGAGTCTTTCTATTTCAAGAGTCCTTGCCATGTCATCTTCAGCTGGATCAGATGAGACTCCCCCAAACCCATATACTGCTCAGTACTTATATTCAAGTGGTCCAAGGACATTTATGACCTCTCCAGGAAATGTGTAATCTATTGTGTGTAATTATCTTAACTGCATATAAAGTATCTTTTAATTAATTAACAATGTATGGTGTCTGGAGTCTGCTAGGCACTATTGTGATGCTCAGATGCACCACAATTATAAGAAAAATTTGATTATCATTCTTATTACTCAGGTTCTATAGCTCATGCTATGCAATCCATCATTCTTTTTATTTGATCAGAGGGTACCAGACATCCAAACATCCAGTATCCTAAGCAGAGATGCACACAGGGAAAACCATCTGGAAGCAATGTAAGGTCTCCAATTCAAGAGTCTTCTGCATATATCTCCAAGGTTATTATGTCCTTCTAAGAAATCTGAGTTCCAGTCTTGTGAAAAAACATGGTTTGCATATCTTGAGTGGAGAATTTGTGAAGCCTAACTTGAAGTCCTAAAAGTTCTTCCCTGTCATGTGTACTTCCATTATGTGCTTAAGGACAATTTAAGGCTAATGTAAATTTTCCCTTTGAGGAAATGAATGCTTCTCCATCTGGAGGCTGAGCAGCAAGACTGAATGTAAGATGTTGTTTGTATCTTTATGTTATTACGGCAAAAGGAAAAGACAAAAACAAGATGGAAAATTGCTAAACAAGGATATGTAGCATAGAGAAATTTAGGAAACAGGATCAGTGTTGGAAAAAGCTCTTGTTTCCCTGTGTGTTTCTTTGCTAAGGACACAATGACTGACTACTGTCAATCACCTCATCAGCTCATAGAAAATGAATCTCTGTAGGCAATGTAATTTTGAGTGTAATTATTTAAATAGTGCCTCTAACGGGATATTTCACAAGCATGAGGAAAGCTTAAAAATACGCAGTTCCAGATGATAAAGGAATGACATGGAGGTCAGCTATAAAACTATAATGAAGGGATGTTTGATACTATTTTTATTGTAACCATGATTTTTATATTGTTGCAAAATCTCTTAACTTCCTTCAATTCCTCTCTATCTGTGCTCACCAGGCTTCTCTGCCTTTTATTATACTTCAGTATAAAAGGTAATCTTTAAGGTCTGTCCTCAAGGAAATCATTCTGGGAAGCTCTGAAAATTTGGAAATGGTAGCCCATTTCCGTAGGATCAATGAGATAAAGATTCATATTAGATGCTTCAGAAGTGCAAAAATTGGAAAAGAAACCAGAAAGTTATAAGGATATTTCCCAAAGTTTCTATACACCAAATTGCCAGACTTTTGGTAAGGTGCTGGAAGAAAAATGTGGTAAAAACTATAATTTGCTGGAGTTTTGGTGAGAGAGCATAACAGTGATAACTTAGATCTGAATATGCTATACGAGTCCATTTGTCATTTCTGTAGGAAATATAAATGAAGTATGAACCTAGGAGGAAAAGATACAGCATTCACGGTTATGCCGGATATCTACAGTCCAGAAATAGTATTGTCTGCAGAACTTTAGTATGAATCATCTTGGTTGTTTGCTTTTTTCCATTCTATTTCAACATTTTACTTTAAAAAATTACTTTGCAGGGGGATTGCTCCTGATTTACAATGGCATAGGTTAGGATGAAAAAGCAAAAACAAACCTGCTGACTTGATAGCGTTTCATTTTTGTGATTAACAGCAGCGTTACTTAAATTAGCAGAAATATATAATTTGTAGCCTTAACATTTATTTAGTTTTTTTTTATGTTCAAATCCTAAAGTCCCTGCTCGTTTGACATCCTTAGCACCTTGAAAATGAGGCCACTGAGTGCTGTCAGTCTGTATCACACTGTGGCTGTAGATTTTGTAGTGAGAAACGTCTTCCCCCAGCCTCTACTTGATCATCTTATTTCTAAAATATTTTTAGTAGTTCATTCTAAAGAAATACTTATTCAGTACTTGTATGTGGAAAGGAAGCACGTGCTCCTAAAGGAATAATGAATTGTATTCAGGGTAGCAACTGGGAGCATGTAGGCAGAGCTGAGCACCAAGCACGTTCAGGGAAGGGGAAAGAAAAGCTAGCTGACGAGCTGAGGTAGCGTGGTCCTGAAACTGGAGAACTATTTTCTAGAATAGATTATGGAGCTTGAAGGAGTGATTTTAGCTGATTACAAACCTAGCTGCCACTGTAGCAGCCAGTTCGACTGAACTAGGTCAAGCTGCCTCTAGCACAGTCCCCTTGAGAAAGGATATCACGTTCTGAAGCTGCAGAAATTCCTTAAATTCATCGCTGGTGCAGTTCTGCTGAATCTGTATCCATTGCACTGCCTCTAAGGCTTTCATGTTAGCAGTAGAGAGCATTAGCTAATGAAGAAAGATTGTCATTCTAAGAAGTATTTTTGACCATGATTATAATCTTAGAAAGAAAAGAGAGAGTGAATTAGGCTGGCCTATGGATAAAAGGTCCCCTCTTATCTTAGATCAATAAGGACTTTGAGTATAATAAGCTAAAATAAATGCTGTTTATGAAGGAGTCTTCCTTTCTTTACACTGAGTACCTATGGCAAAGCACAGCATATAACATGTATAATTAAAATAGAATAAACACGCAATAAAATTCATCCTCATTAAAATTGTAGAATAAAGTGCATTTCTACAATTAAACAATTATTCTGAATCTAGTATTTTTTTTATTGTAAGCCCAATAATATTAACTGACTGTGCATTTATTTAGAACACTTAAAAATCTGCTTCAGATTTATGTTTCATTAGTCTCCACACACCCTACCCACATCAACTACATTCATCAGCTTGATGGCTTACCCAAGTAAACTGTCTTAAATTTTCCAAGTGCTCTTTTCACAAATTGAGTTAGATGCAGTATTGCTATTAATCAGATCTGTAATGCAGGGGCTTGAATTGTTGCTTTTTTCTGCAGTACTCTACTCCCTTGCAATATGTACATATTTATCATTTATTTTCCCCTATTCTGAATTTTGTACAGCAGACAAGAGCTCTCATACTTCTTTCCTGTAAGGTTAAATAATATTCTTTGTATATCATTTTCTATATTGCAGAAAGTCATTAGTAATTACCTGTTGATGATCATCTGTCTGTTTCCCTCTGCTCTGAAGACAGAAGGGAGTTGTGACTCCGAGCAAAGCCATCTTTTCACCAGTGAGGTGTAAAAGGCGATGAGGTCAGGGCAGCCCAGAGAGGCACCTTCATCCCTGCTCTTGCTACTGTCCCTTAGACGTAAGACACTCAACTGCAGAACCCTCCTGCACTTGCAGCTGGACACCTCCCTGCAAAACCTCTCCTGCTCCTAAATATGCCATGCTGCTTATGGGCTGTAGCAAACCAAAAAAGTTCAGAGATCTCACTCAGCCACATGAATTCATCCAGAGGGCCATTACAGCTAAAGCACAGCAGTGACAGCAGAGGCATGTACAACATGGCACAGGATTTGGAGTTACAGTGGCAGCCTGTGGCCTTTCACATAAATATAAGACAAGGCTCAAATTTATATTCCTAAATTTGAAGTAAGAAACCTAAACTGCTCAAAGATATCTCAGGTTGCATTTGACAGCTAAGATAGGCCAGCTTTTCAGGCCTTTAATTCAAAATTTTTTGCTGAGAAACCTTCAGTCTGGGGTGCACCACAAAGTGGAAGGTTACCTCAGACAGGGATGGTAGGTCTAAAGAAAATGGAAGAGGTTAAGTAGTTGGACAGTTGTTGAACTTGCTGCCAAAATATGCCATGGTTGCCAAAGATCTACATGGGTTTAAAAAACAATTAGACAAGGTCATGAAAGAAAAATCTATTAAGGGTTATTAACCAGAACAAGGCAGCTCTTGTATCAAGACATTACTGAACTTGCTCACAGGCAGAGAGTGTGCATTAAAGAAGTATCGCTATATGATTTTTCTGTCTGATGTCTCTCATGATTTTTCTCATGGTGCTCATAAACAGACAATATTGAATAAAGGATATTGGGCTAGGTGGGCCTTTGTTGAGACTCTTTGTAATGTCTTTATTTTCAGTAAAATAGGAAGTGCACATTTGCTAATAACTGCATCTGATGAATCAGTACAATTTTATTGTTTTCAACATCAATTGGTCCAAAATACCATATCAGTAATATGAAGAAAAGATCATTTTGTGCATAACTAAAGTCAGAAGAAACTTTCTAGCAGCAGTTCCCTTCTTAATCACAAAAAAAAAAAAAAAAAGATGGAGAAATGAAGGCTCTAGGCCTATTTAATTGTGAAGAATCAATTAGATAAATGTGCATTCCTTTCAGTTTGCTGGTTTTGTTGTTGTTGTTTTTTATTTTTAAATTATACAGCTGCAGACATTATGGAAGCTGTGAGTATTTATAACTCAACCGTATGTAGGCAACACTAAGAAATATTAGTTCAATAAGCGTAATGATAGCTGTACTCAAATCAAAACTAAGTTGTTAAAAAAAAAAAAAACACAAACTTTTATTTATTTTCTTAATAGACATTTCTATGGTACTCGGCAGAAAGAGAGCACTGAATATTTTGTGGAAGATTAAATTATTTGTAATTATACCACAAGTGAAAGATTTAAACCAATGGGGAAAAAAAATGTTGAGCTACCATGAGATTAATCGCTCTCACTAAGATGACCACTAAATTTTTTAAGGAATGCTGTGAACTTCCCCAGTACCTTTCATCTAGGCTTTCAAAGTACTTTACAAACACCAATGTAGCTAAGCCTCATAACACCTCTGAAAAATAAGCATCAGTATTCCCACCGCACCAATAAGGAAACCAAGATATAGATAAAGGACATACAGAAATCATTATACTTTTGTATTTCACATGAATTCAGCAAAACCAAACTCTATAGCAGAAAGCTCTGGAAGAATGCACCATACTTTTTCCTTATAGGCACACTTACCCAAGATTCTCTTGCAGCTATACATCCTGAGGTATACTATACACTCAGTGTGTAGTCAAATTCACATCTTTTCCCCTTAAGATAATAAAGCGATAATAATAATAATGTTTTTACATGCAGGCATATGCAATATATATAATACACATATATGACACGCATATGCTCATAGATAGAACTCCTTCCAGTAGAAGTGATCGTTCTGATACAATGCAAACATTTGCAAGTACACTTCTTTTTACATCTAGCTCATATTTTCATTTTATTTTCCTCATTTCCCTCCTTTCTCAGTGTTTTTTTCTGCCTCAAAAATCCCCCCTGGCAATCTGAACCTGTCCTCAGCTCCTCAGTTACTGAAATCCCAGATGCTTTCATAGTGGCAGCTTGTCATTAAGAAGCCAGTTTTAACACTTTTTTATTTAAAAAGATCAGCCCCTTGGTCCTGCAATCAGCTCCATATGTACTGACCCTCTCGGATATCTGTCCTTAAATGTGTGATGCTGAGCAATTTCTGATTCAGCTTTAATGCTGGAAAACCAACTAAAGGAAGCTGAAAGAAAAGGTCTGCAAGGTGTCAGTAGCCATGATGGATAGAGAAGAACATGCTTAAAGCTTTTTTTTTTCTTTCTTTTTTTTGCTCTGTTATCTTCTTATCCCTCACCCTGCCTCACCAAATATCTCTCCTTCATTTGTCTTCTCTCAGTAGTGCCTCATCCATCCTTAGCAGAAGATGTATAACAGGTGAGTACATCAAGAGTATGTTAGCTTCATTGGTGCCATCCATTCCTTACAGCCTCCAGTATATTTTTTCAAGAAAATAATTAAATACAATTTGCAGGCAGAAATATACATCTTGATATATGCATCTCATTCAGATCTTAAATGCCTTTTTTCATTCCTTCAGATCTGCAGGGTGAGAAAAGCAGCTGATGGGTGCTGAAAGCAGCATTCTGGATCAAGATTGGCATCCCAAGAGCCTGCATGAGAACTGCAGCTGGGCATAGAGCAGGCATTGCCCTCAGCGCTCTCTGAGATGACCTCACAGGATTCATTTCATAGAGAGGGGACAGTTTATCTTCGAGTTCTGTCTATGTGTCTACTTATGAGAGTTATTATGTATTCGTCTCCAAGTACAATTATGATTCTTCAGCTTTTACTAAAACCACTGCAACTTGGGCTGCCTTATTCCTCAGGAAATAACAGGAAAATTGAGAAAGCCTACCACAGAACAGTTCCTGAGGCAGCTGGAGAGTGAATGAGTGCATCTGATGGCAAGATGAAGCACTCGAGTGAGTCTCCAACTCTGAATTGCCTCTGCAACCTGGCAAAATAGATATATTTGTGGAACTTTTTAATAGAGTGATAAACTTTCCCACTTACCTTCTGCAGCGCCAATACTGTGTGAGGACTGCAGCACTTGTACCAAATGGATTTTAAAATAGAGGCAAATGGTGTGACTCCTATCCCGGCTGCAATGCACACACTCACTCCATAGCGAAAAACATCTGTGGTTGCAGATCCATATGGTCCATCCACAACTAATCTACAGCAACAAAACATTTAGTCAAGAATCAGCAACGTATAAAGCAGTACAAAGGTTAAAAATTTGTTGGGCTACATGTTTTGAAAACAGAAACTTCTGTTAAAATAAAAGAACTCTGCGACTAAGCTGGCACATGAATAACCCATGCAAACGCATTTAATTTTCACTGGGTGTCACTTAATAGCAAAGCAACTGTTTTTCTCCGAAACAAGAGAACAAGAACACCCATGTGGGTTTGGGGCCTGGCCATCTATTTAAGCATGCAATTGCAATTTTCTGGCTTTCTGAAATGTGATTAGTCATATAATTGCATGTCCAAATTTAGATGTGGAATTTGCATATTTAATTACAAATTACTGAAAAGCATCCTGTTTTAGAGCTTTATTTTCTTCATTGTATATATCAAAGTAAAGACAAACTGATTATATTAATTATTTTGAAAAGTTCTCCATGTGTATTAAAGTAATAAGAGAGAAAGCAAGAAAAAGGTAGGCATATGCAAGGAAACTAGTATTTTCTCAGCTCTTTCAGAACAATCAGTATTTCAGAAATACATTTTTGGCAGTAATACTGTACTTAGTATCTGACACAGAGGAGAAATTGTAAAGAAAAATATTTTTTTTATATTGCTAGCCTTTATAATCAATATTACTGATGCTAAAGCATTCATTTTGAACAGCATTAGAGATGAAAAAGATCATTAAATAACCTGATTAATTCCATTACCAACATGGAATATAAATACATGCTGTGCTTTGGAGTGCTCTGTCCAGTCTATCTTTAGATAGCATAAGCGCTTCAGAAGATTGTTTTGGTATCCAACAGAAAGAGCAGGAAAAAAAAGTATTTTTCTCCTTTCAGATTTCTGTTGTTTTGTGCTTTTCTTTTTTTGCACCAATCATCTTAAAAGTTCAGTTTCAATAGTATGAAAAAATATCCAGACAAAGAAACAATTAAGTGTTTTAACAGGAAAGGAAAGCAAAATCACTGAACAATGGTATAAACAAATGCATGGACACAATGGATCTGAAAACCAATTGTTGCTTTCCCAAAGTGTACCTGAAACCCTAGCAAACATTTTCTCTTTCATTTGTACTTGTCACATGGCTCATTTTAATTTCTGCAAGTGTGATGTAGCAAATGAAATAACAACTCAGAGATAACTTCTGAAAATCTGGTCTCAGACAAAAACAAAATAAACTATTTTTAGAATATATCCTTGGACAAATTATTGTCCAGCCCTGTGCTTTTTGTGCACTCAGAATTAAGAGCATACATGTAAAGAGTCTAAGAATTATTTTAAAATAAATGTTCTACATAGATCAGCATGGTCTTGGTAGCAATTCTCATTGTTAGTTGACTGAGAAGAAATAGATCGTGAAGGAATTTTAAGAGATTACTTAATCTGTCTGCATGCTATAAAACAAGATCAACTACATTTAATTAATTCCTTACAAATATTTGTCTAGTCCATCTGTCCGTAAATCATCCGATGACAGAGATCCCATCATTGGTTTGAATACATTGCTGTGCCACAGCTATAGAGATTAGCCTAATGCAAAGACTCGGAGAAAGCAAGGAAAGAGAAACAAAGCTATACAACCCATTCATTTGATCTAGAATGTAGGAAGGTAATTAAATAGTGACAAAAAAAACCTGCATTTTCATATGCCAAAAGAGGATTCAAAAATAGAGATATAGACTATTCCTAGCTATGCTTTGGATTACCTGTCTATTTAAGATGTATATTTTATTTTGATCTTCCTTTATTAATTGCAATATGCATATTTTATTTTTAGAACCTTACCTTATCTTTCAGTTGCTATATAACTTCCATCTTTTGCTTGGTTTCTGCTAAATGTTATTTTTGAATATAGCCACCAGTTTGTTGTTTATCTTTAGATACTCAAAGCTGTCAAAAAGACTTGTTTTTTCTTTACTGCTAGCTTAACTATTGAAAGATTCTTTTTATTATGTTGCAAGAAAGCAACTCAATGATGGCATTAGGCAGGCTAACAAAATTATAAAAAAGAGTATTTATGTATGACATTGCTGTTTATTTCAATTTTGCACTGCGGCCAGCAACATTTGATGACGTTTTCCTCTTTCTCCCTCTTTACAGTGGATGCCAGTCATTGTGGGTCATTTCTGTTCTACTGAAACAGCAAAATTCTCTTTCCAGATGCCTTTTACAAAGGCATAGCTTTCATTTCTAATTCTTATTAACTGACATAAAGCAAGAACTGCACAACATTTTCTTCTCTTCCTGCGCTGTCTGGTATGCCTCTGTAGCTTGATGGTGTTCATAAGCTTTTTAGAGGAATGTTCTTTAGCATCCAAGTACCACTAAATTACATAAAATAGTTTTACCTTTTGCTATTTGGTTTCACTAGAACCACCTCATCAAAAGCAATTTTCTGAGATAGAAATAGCTCCTTCAGTGTTGCTCCTAAGCATTCCACTGTAATAGAAATGATCCTGTACTGGACTGTTTCCTGCACTGAAAATCCCCCCCTATAATATGACCACAAGTTTCTAAATAGTTTGAATCCATCTGGTTTAGAGCCAGATACTTAGCAGGTGTAAGTCTGAATGGCTGTATTAGCTTCAGCTGAGCCCTGCTGACTTTCAACAAAGAAAGATCAACATTTTGCTTGGATTAAGATGCCACCAGATAGAACTTGAGTGCTGATAACTTTTATATATTAGGACAGAGACTGAGTTGAGGGAGACTGATAAAAAGAAGTAAGGCTCAGGCGGAGGCTTCTGTAGCCACAAATTATTTGAGTAACCCGAAGGGACAAATTGAGTATTTGGGTGGTACGTGATGGGTGCTGTCAGAAAGGAAATGTTCAGAAAAATAGCTAGCAAATAGCTTTTAGTGTTGTTTTAATTCAGTTTGAAAGTATCTGTATATCAAAAGTCTATAGATATAGATGGCAGAGATGTAAATAATAGCAATGTATATGTGTGTATATATATATTGACTTAGACTTGGATTATTCACTGGGTTTTCATGATTGCCACTGGTCTAAGTTCATGACTGATTTTATTTGTAGGGGTTTTGTTTTGTTTTTATTTTAACATAATGGCATATTTCTGAACCTCAGACTATGATCTGTGCCACAAAGAACACACACAAAATTAATTAAAATGTTAAAATTTATTTTAAAATGTAAAATTAACTCTTTAAAATGTATTGTTTGATATTCAAACCTTGGTAACATCCACAACTCCTTGAAAGTTTTCTCCTCTGCTCCAAAAGCCTTGAAGAGGGCTGCAGTCCAGTCCCCAGCTACCCTGATGTGAACACTGAAGAAGTCTTCCTCAGGAGCTGAGGTGAGGGTGAAGGGGTGCCACTCCAGTGGTGAGATCGATGAGCACTGCAGAAAGATATACTGACCCGCTTCCATTTTAAAGCCACGCTTTTTCATGTGAAGCTCTAGGACTCCAGAGGAATGTGTCACCACCTGAAGAATAGTAAAAGGTTTTATTTAATTCTCTCTGAGAAGAATAACCATTTTCATTGAACTGCAGATGACTTATTAATCATCTGTACTTGAGCTCAAGTTAATTAAAATTAGGATGCACAGTCATGTTTAAGTATCTATAGGTAATGCTCTAAACTTTATACTGAAGTGCTGTTGTTGTCCAATAACTTGGGAGTGTATACATTGTATAATACCTGGCAGCTCTCTTTATGAGTCATAAGATGCAGAGTAAAGTCTTTAGTAAATCAATGTTCTGTCAACTTCTTCCTAATATGGAAGCTTTTGCAAAAGCCTTTGCAGGGATCTCCTGAAAAGAGTTCCGCACTGATATGCAAAGGAACTTCTTCACAGTGAGGATGACAGAGAACTGGAACAGGCTGCCCACGGAGGCTGTGGAATCTCCCTCTCTGGAAATATTCAAGACCCACCTGTGCAGCCTGCTGTTGGAGCCTGCTTTGCAGAGTGGCTGGGCTTGTTGAACACTAGAGGTCCTTTCCAGCCCCCACAGTTCTGTGATTCTGTGACACCCAATACAAAATTACTCCTTGACAGGCTGGAGTATTTTTCCAGTTTTACTCACATGTAGCACAACTAACTTGTATGTATGTATAGGATTACTATTGATTTGGTAAGAAGAAATAGGCTTGGTGGAGTTCAATACTAGCATACTTTTATTAAGAGGCAGTCTCAGCTTAGCAGGCAGTTTTGTGTCACGCATGGCATACTGAGATGCTAAGATCACAGTCACCCTGTGAAATCAGCAGCATGATTTACCCTGCATGCTTTTCCCTCACACAAGATAAGCCTCTTTCTGATCATTGGCTTGATACGCATGGACTTTGCTGCTCCAACAGCTCCAATTCACTCTGCTGTGAATTAAACAGATCCTCAGCACACAAAGATATTTACAACTGGGACAAATTGTCACAGTTGTGCTGGTATCAATGACATTTTGACTATTTGTGCTGCCTGATAATAAAGCCCTTAATCTCCTTGGAAGCCTTCAGATTTGACAGTAAAAACCATATCCTGATGAAGTTGAGGGCCTCTGTGCCATTTACTCCAGTGTAAGTTGTGTTTAAGTTCTGCAGAAAGAAATGGTGTCTGTGCAGAGGTGCGTGCTGTGATGGTGGGGCTTTGTGAGTCTGGTAGTTCATTAATCATACGTGGCCCCATATGGAATATTCTTATGGACTTGCTATTGGAATAAATGCAAAACTAAAATCAATACCTGGCTGAAACCATAGTAATGATGGAAGAACAGTTGAATCTGGAGGTGAAAAATAAGATCATAATATGGAGTAGATGTCTATAAAAGGGGAAAAGTAACACAGTGACATCACTTTCTTTTTGCACAAACATGCAACTGTGCTACATACCTTAGTAATGACTACCTCCTGTTGAAATCTCCAGAATCTAACAATTCTTTCACAGATATACAGCACCACAGGACTCGCAACCCATTTCCAAGCCTGTAGTAAGTTTAATATTAAAAAAGAATATTTTTTTCAACTTCAACAAAATTACATTGCATTCACTGTTTAAATCTGAAGTTAGCCTAAAATGTAAGTATTTCCTTTCTCTTCTGTGATTTTTTTCCTTTTTTTTTTTCCTTTGCCTTTCTCACAAGAGTATTTCTGTTGCTACCATAGCAATTCTGATGTTCTCATGGAATGGACATATGGGACTCTGTCACAGACACAGTCCAAAAGCATTCCTAATGTCCATCTGTATTCTGATCAAGAAGAGTCCTTTAATATCCATTCCTACACTGAAGCAAAAGGATTAATCTGTTTTGGAGTTAAATATAAGCATAACTGGACCTGAAAACGTATAGATCCATATAATAACATCACCCATCATAGGCTTACTCTTTTTTTCTCTTCAAAATCTAAAATAATCCAGATGAGTCAGATAGGAATACATCATATTGTCAGCCGTGAGTTTTTTGAAACTACATGCAAAAACATTAAATCTCAAATATTCAATTAGAAAAATGGGATATAATTCCACTGAATCCATTAGCTAGCTCTTACTTTAAGTGTTGCAGAGGATTGTTCTACTTCTTGTTGTGGACCACTAGAACAGTACAAAGTTCTTGGCTATTCAGGCTATTCAAGAATATTAGCATAGTACAGTGATGTACTGTGACAATAGCTTAGATAATTAGATGTAATTGGATCTTTGGAATAATAAATAAATGAAGTAGGTGTTTTTGATGTGTTTTGTTTTTCCCTCATGTTTTGTTTCTCCCATCCCTAGGAGATACAGTTTTATTGCAGTTCAATTATGTATACAACACATTTTAGCCATCTGAGGACTCTTCAATGATACGACTATCAAGAATAACTTTACTTATTGAAACATTGACTTTTCCCCACAAGCTGAGTAACAGGGAATATAAAGTATCTTTTATGAGAAGCAAGCTGTAAAATAATGTGGCTTCCTTAGAAAGTGATAAGAAGATGGAGCAGCAATTTCCCAAGCTTAAGTCTTGAAAATTAAATGTAAAAAAAGTCATGATTTAATAATGGGAAGAAACTAGTATAAGCCAGGAGATTCTGAGTTAAAGCAGAAACTCAACACATCGGTTGTCCCTAAATACTACAGGTGTCTCTGCACAGTGGGTAATCTCACACATCTTGAATATATTAGCATACATCAAGGCACAATAATGATGAGACCTGTTCTTCCTCCCTTCCATTTGTGCTACCTGTAAATAAAAGCATGTGACAGGAATGTTAAGGCTGCAGTCTCTCTCATGTGACAGCTAAGCTAAGATTTCAAACGTGACGCTTCTTCTCTGTAATAGAGCTTTCAATCCAACGTATCTCATGGCTGGTTTGTGACAATGAGGCATCTACCAGGAGGGCTGTGCTGCTCGACAACACAGCTCCTGGCCACTTAATCAGAGCATCTGTATTCCTGCCCGGATGGTGTTTCTTCCCCTGATGAGAATGAACTAAGTCAGCACAGTGATGGTATGGTAGATGCTATGAGGATAAAAGTTCAGATACACTGGGTGTAAAAGAAATGCTTAAACACCCTCAGTGGGAGGAGATGGGCAGAGACATAAAGCCAGGACGCAGGTGTAGATGGCTGAGGGGGGGCCCATCTGCCTCAGCATACCTGAGGCCAGGGGAATGTGTGCTCCAGTGCCACATTGCACAATCCCAGCTGCATGTGCACAAGGCTGTCCCTTTGTCCCAATTCTAAATCCCTGCCTTGCTGGTGCTGCCACATCTTCTGAGCCTCTGAATGGATTTTTGCCCATTGAGGCTTGCAGGCATGACACCATTGCACAGCACTCATCCAGCAAAGCCCAGTTCTTACAGACAATTGATGTACCATACGGTATTATCACAATTTATTTAAAGTAATGTGACTTCACAAGCACGGCCTTGGGTATGCAGGAAAGTGTGGCAAAGTAGGTTTAACACGGAGAAGTGGAAGTTCTCTCCAGTTAGCTTTATGATAATGAATGTCAAGGCATGCTGTTGGAAGCAAGTTTGTGTCTGTATTCACAGTGTGCAGCCACCTATTGATTTTTATGGCAACGCTGTAGCTGAAATTTTTAGAGAGGCATTCGTTTTCTCATTAATATTCAGTTTGAGTAGTGGCTAACAATAGTTTAGTTTAAGAAAAATCTATGTCAGCCATTAACAGAGCTGCAAGATACTGAATGCTAATTTTTTTTCCTTTACATTAAGATATCCTTTCATATGCTTTCTCTTTCTGGAAGAAACAACAAAAACTTGCATATGAGCAAGCTAAATCTTGAACTGTAAATGTTAAATGATCTTGTTTAGATGCTAGACATCTGACACACTGTACAAATCTGCTACTTAATTACCCCCTGTGGATTTGCAATCTTGTTGCAGTGAAACCACCCTTCTGTGGGACATTTTTCCTGCCTTTCATAATTTATTGTTTCAAATTCTCTCTGTTTTACCTAACTTAAGACATCAAGGCTGGATGATAGGAGGTATGTGCCCCAAAGCAAGGACATAATCTTATCTTCAGTTTAGTCTCCCTTGGTAATTAGGCTATTAATATTAAAGCACTATTAGTTAAAATAATAATAATAATTTGCATCTCTATCTCTCCTGTTTCACTGCATTTTCTGTATCTCTATTCTTAGAAGATTTTTACCCAGAGACCATATTTGTGCAATGAGATGAGCACATCAAGGCTATTGCTGATGCTAAACAATAAAAACAAAATGTAATAAAAAAAAAACAAACCCACCACCGCCAACAAAACACAAAACCCACATAAAAAAACAACAAAACTCAACTAACCAACCAAAACACAAATAGAGGCCAATTCTAAAACAAAAAGGAGTGCTGACTTACTAAAGAATCTTCCAGAAGTATTAATTATTATTGCTAACACCAACCTTTTACAAATATCTCTCCATCTGTACCTGTCTATATAGATTATGTAGGAGGTTCAGTGCACAGGGGGAGGTCACAGAACAGGAATGGGCAATTACTCTCAAAACACGACACTGAGTGCCAGTTGCTAGCATCATACACTGCAGCCCCCTCACTCCCTATGGCAGACACATGGCCTCTCAAGGAAGAATATTAAGCTAAAAGCAAAAGACAAACATCACTCTTACCACAGGTTTGTTACCAGAAAACTGCGGCAAAGGACACTGAGTGGTTTTCTCCCATTCCAAGTAGTGTTCTTTACAGTAAGTGATGTTGTGAAGCAGCAGACTGTGAGGTGTCTGACCCCGGACTAGCTGACTTAAAACAAAAATATTGTCAACAACAAAGCTCCTTGTAATGTCTCTGGACATGTGTATGTTTCATACTAGTATTTGAATGCAGTACTTGAATGAAAGACATGGAAACAACTGACATTCAAAAACAGGTCATTTCAAGACTATTCTACTCTCTTCATGTTTCCTTTATGTGTGCCATGACTTTTCAACCAAGTGCAAGAAATTTGTTATAGTATTGGTATACACCAGTGCAAATGAATAGTGCAAATGAAGCTGTTTCAAAGAAAATGTTCTATTTTCTTGTCAAAATCAAAATGATTTCCAAGTTCTTTGGAGCAGACACACTGACCTCCTCTATATATGGTACATCTGGTACTGTTTAGAAAAACAATAAACTTTAATGGAGACAGACCTTCTCTTTCCTTTGCTGCTTTCTAAATGCATTTTTAAAAGCTGCAAATAAAGTTGGAGGACTGTAATTAGATGTGTGCTTTCTAAACATATTAAATTCTAAGTTCTTTACTTCTGAGATTGCTAAGGATGTGATTTTTCCAAACATATCAGTCTTGACTGCTCAGTTTTAATGTGTTTCAGCTGGTGTTTACTGTGAGTAGAGAAGTAAGATTTTTATGAGAAACGCTGTTTGTTTCACATGGTTTCTTTGAATTTTCCCTTCCATTCTCACTTTGACTCTACAACATAAGCCTGTCCTGCCTATTTGTCTTACAAGAGACAAGTGCTGCCTTCTTTTATGTGACAGTATCACCAGCTGCCACCAGTTTAGACAGAAGACAGAAAAGAAGGCTTGAGGGAGTGTTGCTTTTGTGCAGTCACCTGAGAAGGAGAGAGAGATAGGAAGTGGATGAAACCTTGATTTTTGTCTCCTTTTCATAAATGGGGTGGTAGAGATGTATTGGGGCAGCAAGAGCTGCTCTGTGGCAGTGCAGTTCCCACTTGGTGAAAGCACTAGATTCATCTAACCCTACTAGATAGTGATAAATAAGTGTCCCCTCGAGGAGTGTCAGTCAGCTGTCTAGGCAGAGGGAGCACACAAACCAAAGACTTTTGAAGGGTTCTTCACAGTTTCTTGAAATTGGATCCTTACAGATTTGAAGGGGAGAATTAAGGAATGCTTTTAAATCAGACCAGGATACAGTTTACAGCATTTTTTTTGCAGCTGTGCCTCTGAATCTTGGGACTAATCAATTGGGCCAATTTCAGGAGCCCTTCAAGTTCAAACTAAATGTAGCAGGTCTCAAATAACAAGAAAGGAGGTGAGGAAACTAACAGCACAAAGCATAGTGCCAGCCTGTTACCTGTCTCGAGATAACTCCATGCACCTTGAAGGAGTAGGTGCGAACACACTGCAGTGGGCTAAGAAGTTCCCATGTGTCAAAGAGCAATGGTCTGTACATACTTCAGGGGCAGTCAACACTATGTGACTGTTTTATGAAACAGATGTAAAAAAGATATTGTGACATGTGAAAAGTATTAATATAGCTTCAGGCCATGTATACACCAGGTAGTTGGCAGGAAAAGAGCAAAGCACTTTTTGTTGAGGGCCTAAGCCTCTGTGCACATTTGGGAGTTACCAAAGACTTAGGACTAGGTCTACATTGGTCTCATGAACACAGAGACAAAACTGTTGTTATAGTTTCATCTTCAATCACTCTCTGTTGTACAGTCTAATGTTGTGCAATAATATGAACCGAAACATAGGGAGAAGGACTGTAAGATCTGCCTCAAAACTGCACACCTTATCTGAATTAAAATGAGCATGTATATGCACTACTAGAGGTTCATAGTAACACTATTGAAGAGGGAAGAGAAAGAAAAATGAGGGGAAGTGCAGAAGTGCAAAAAGCTTAGCAAGCTTGTACAAGCTCTCTTAAAAAAATGCCTTACAAGAGCTATGAAGTCAAGGAGTATTCCTTATTAATTGAAGCCAATAAAAAGTTGATCTGCAATGCCCCCAGTTCTCAGAGATGGAAGTTCCTTCAGTCTGAATGCATTGATTCTGCAAATTGTATGACAGGGAGATAGCAGAATGTTTGAAAGAAAAACACAGAGAAGTCCTTGGAGAAGTGGTGTGTACTAATCTCAAAAAAGTTTTCGTTTTGCATCCTGTCTCCAAGCAAAGATCTCAAAAGTTTGTTATTAGAAAGGCACAGAGTGAAAGATTTGGATTGTGTTCATCTCAGACTGTGTACACATACCTCGTGTAGTTCATGCAGGTACTTACCCTGTACCATGGATTATTAAACCAATAAAGAAAACCACAAAGAGGTGGTGGGTATACCAGAACACCTCATAGCACGACCTTCTGATGAGCTCTGTGGATGAAGTCACGATCAGAACAAAAGCCACAGTTATCATAACTCCTGTTACTCCAGCTATGGTGGTCAGTACCTCTCCTGTTATGTTCTAGAGTAAACATACATTATTTCTGTTACTAATATTGTTGTTCGTAGTAGCATTTTTACTGTTAATAATGCCACTGTGTTTACTATTATATATTAAATCAAATTTTATGTTACATTTTCAGAATAGGAACAAAATCAGAACAAGACTCTCAGGCAAGGCAAACCTCAATTTCATTTCAGAAAAGCATGGAAAATCATCCACTTGTTCTATTTCTTATCCCAGACAGATTTATAAATGTTCACTGCCACTTATTTGTTTGAGGAATTGAAAGGAGGGAAATCAGGCAGTCCCAGTAGTACTTTTACCTGTTTATCTTATGTAAAAGCATCTCAGAAGAAAAAAGGAAACAGATGAGAGAGAAGATTAAGCTTAGAAATGTAATAACCAAAACAGCTCTACCAATTGTGATATTCATGGGAGGATGATAAAGTGAGGTGCTAAGTCACTTGGAATGTGTGGGTCTCTTTTTTGCTCATTTTACTTCAAAGATTTTCACAGTCCTTTAGTGGTGTATAAAAATGGCACACTCTCACTTACCTAAATAGCGTATCTTATTTGCATGTTCCTTACATTTACCTCTACATTGCAGGATAATATTTAGTTTTTGAAATACATGTTTATATTCACATCTTTACATTAATATTCTGGGCCAGAGCATGTTCCTTCTTCTTTGTGACTCACAGGCATCAGCAAAGGTCTGTTACATCTGTCTAAACCCACTAAAATAAACTGAAGTGAGAATGAAGACATATTTTGAACACAACAGTCAGATGCTGATCTCAGTTGTAAAGTGCAAATCATGAAGAACAGCAGTAAGAATCTCACATGCAAGATGAGACTCAAGCTAAATATGCCAGCAGAGTGTAAATAAAGCCTCCATTTGGCCTGCGAAGTGTACATCTCCTTTTCTAGGGTTGGTGTTCAAGAAGGAGGAAACTGAGTATGCCTACTGGATCATGAGTTGGTTCTACAGCTACTAGTACAGTAGAAGTAAAATCCACATTGTATTTGTAAATTGCACTCATCTGATATAGAAATGCTAGAGGTGATAAAATTCCACAATGTCATTTTTACTGTCACTTTTTACAGTAAAATCATCCTTTCAAATATTCACACTCGACTGCACACAGCACAATTTCAAATTGGTGCCTGTGAAGAGTGTGCTCAGACCCTTCTACATATTAACAGGATTGATCTAGGTGATATTTTGAACACTTCCACAACACTGTCTAGTTTGAATGTTGAGATGAAACAAGGAAAAAACTCTTAGTACAGTTCTACTCTAGGTTTGCAATAGAATTGGAAAGGAAATCTGAGCTGTTGCTCTCAGAACTTTCCTCTCTGAAGTTAAAGAAATCTTCGTTTTGCTTTCCTTCATAATTTATTAATTCTGAGTATAGCTACTGAAACACAAGTGGGAGATAAATATAAATATTAGAGGTTAGAGTATAATCTAGGCTGTAGATTAGCAAGTGACTGTGGGGCATATTACTATGAGAAATCTGGATAAAATCTCCGAAAATGCTAGCTTTCTTTTTCAAGGATATTTAGGATCTTAATGTTAATTAGATGCCTACCTCTCAATTATATCACTATGGGAAGGCTTATCAGAGAAAAAAAATGCATACTGGAAGGCAGTGGGTTACCATTCAGTACTGTGAGTTCTGCTCTGTTCTGGAGAAACATTTCACATGCATGTGGTGAGTGTAGGCACCAGCTATTCAGAGGTGACACAGCTTAGTCCTTCCTCACTGTGCTGCTCTGGCTACTTTGTCAATGCTAACATCAAAGCTTCTGTACTCATAATTTTGAGACCATTAATTTGCTTGTTTTTCTTGAAACTTGGTAACTGTTTATTTGTTTGTTTAGAAAGATGCAAAAGTCACATTTAAGCTGGAGAAGAACAGAGAAAAGATGGGACAAAATGCCTTATAATTGAAAAGTACTATGAAAGACTACTGTTGATTGTCTAGCCAGCATCTCACTTTGTTTCTGATTGAAAGGGCCCACTCCACGGTCTTTAAGAAGCCTTCACCCACAAGCTGGGTATGTGGGAATTTCCTCAAATGTAGAAACATTACATGTGGGAGTCTTACTAGGGGCTTGTGTAGCCTGAGAGTACACAACAGCAGCCTACAACACTATACACAAAAAGGCACATAGTGTCTGATGAATAGTGTAAGGAATAAAGCTGAGCAACTTTTGTGTGTTTTACGTGCATGCATTGCAGAATTGGTGTGTTTTTCTGTATCTTGTGAGTACTGCAAAGAAGATCTCTAGCCATGCTGTTATAAGGTAACCAAGGAAGTAAGTGGGATGCACAGTATCATTATTTCCCCAGGGTAAGCAGAGTCATTCATTTGCAGGACAGAATTATGCATAGTCCTGCACACACTATCCCTCGCTTCCCTGTACACTGCATCCCCTAGGTAGCAAGCCTCTGGGTGCTGTTGGATGTGATCTTCCTTGGGCAGCCCCAGTCGGTAACAGGGCAGAAGCAGCCTTCTAACTGGGAAGATGTCCCATAGGGAGAGACAAATAGCAACAGTGAAAGCAATTTCATGTGTTACTGCTGTTCAATTATTGTTTCTTTCTAGAAAGAAGTTGTCTTTGTTCCATATATTTACAGTTTATTTTAGTTTTTAAAATTCCTTGCAGATTTGTTTCACTGTCTACAATTTCTGAGTTCCCTTAGCCTTCCCCCTACTTGTCTTCTGGCAAACTAATTAAAATACTATAGGCATTTCTTTGAGCTAAATAACCTGAAAACGCAGCTCTGAGGAAGTGTTTTCAGCTGAAATTGAGGTTAACCTCTGGCAGCACCTTATTGCTTTGGTTAAAAGGCTTTGAAATATAGTTTTCCTGATGGTAGGATCCACAGAGGAAAACTTTTTACGTGAAGAAAACCAAAAAGTGACAGCTTACCGTTTCATAGGTCCTGATCGGGTTCAGGTAGCTTTCATTTGGCCTCTTGCCAATGCCAGAAAGTTTATTCCGCAGCCCCCCTGCTTCCTTCGACTGGCTGTTATGATACCGCTCTATATTGATCAAGTGGGCAACAGTGTGGATGGCTGCATGAGAGAAGAGAGGCACAAGGCTACAGACATGCTCATATGTATCCTCAGTGCCAGAAGCAGCTCCGTTAAGCGCACACTACTTGACTATTTGAAAAGCTTGCGCATAAATTGAGAGCTTTGAACAGAGTAAACTGACAGCAAAAGGAAAATTTTATCTGATGTATGTTCAATGTGTCGCAACTGGTTCAAACCAGAGACAACAGCTGCAGGGTTGCATGTTTAAATTGAGTGTCCTGCAGGCTTCAGTGTTATCCAAGGCAACCACTTGAGAAATGAGATAAAGCTGTTTACCTTGGGTTTTAAAGTGTTAAAAGAAAATCTATAAAAATCCACTTTTGTTTGTGGTTGTTGTTTTCTTTTTTTTTTTTTTTTTCATGAATATTCTAATATATGCCAAGGTCTAATATTGCTACATAGGACACTAACTTGTCCATTTTAGGCATAGATTTGCACTGGAGAGATTTAAGAGATGCTTTCAAAATCTTCCCCTGTCCTCAACTGGATATAGCATCACAATATGCTGGTGGAGCCTGGGCATCACACAGAAACTCTGATTTTAAGGAAAAGGTCTGAATCACAGGGTTATCTCTGATTTGTCCTCAGCAGCATACATTACTTTTATTTCTAGCATGAACTCCAAAGGGATAGGAAGTGACTAGTTTAAAAAAATGCATAAGTGAACTTCCTCATAATCCTTTTTCCAAGTGGAAAGTTGATAAAAGAGGGAATAAAACCTTTGTTTTATTACTGGTAAACATAGATAAAATCATAATCAAACTAGGTGCAGATTTTCACAATTTTCAGTATGACAGATTTTAAAATCCATTACGGGAAAGGTGCAATTAATGCAAAACATTAAATGCTGAAGGATGAAAACCAACAATGAAAAACAATTAGATGTTTACAGAAGCAGTATTACGATACACTATTTCAAGATTTTATAATTATCTTTCTGTCATCATCTCTCCTTCAGGCTTTATCTGTTCCTGTCCCTGACCATTTAAAAACCTTGTAAAAAGCAATATTGGTAATAAATGAAGTATCACCTGCTTCCCTGAACAATCTACTCTCAAAAGAAGATTTTTTCTTCTTTCCTTTCTTTTCTTTTCTTTCTTCTTTTTTTTTTCCTCATTCATTTAATTGCTTTTCTTGTCTCTTTTTTTCCCCCTTTTTTCTTTCCTTTTTTTTTTGTTTTTATTTTTTCTACTTTTTTGTGTTTTTTTTTTAAGTTCCTCTTTCTTTTTTTTTTTTTTCTTTTTTTGTTTATTCCTTGCACAGAGTAACCCCTTACTGTACTAGTCATTGAGTAATCATAGCTAAAAAGGCTGGCTTAACTGCCTAAGGATTTTTGTCCTTTAGATCCATTTAGTGAGCACTCTTATTCCGTGTGGTTCCTAAACAACATGTGGAAAGGGCTGTGGTCATTGGAATACAAGTCAAGGAAGAATGCAGAACATGGAAGTAGCTGTGCAAAAAAAGTGAAAGATCACACTCTGTCTTCCAATGGCATCTTAGCCCATCTGTCCAGGCTGGAGAGAGGTTATTTCCACTCAGTTCTGATATGATCCTTCTAGAGCAGCAGATGTACTTCTGTTGACTGTCAAGTTACACTTCACACAAAACACAATGTTAGCGTTAGGGACTCTTCCCACCATTTCTTTTTGCCTGCTCTATCTCATTGCCCCATGCTTAGGCACTAACTGGGTGAGTCATTTTTGAATGAAAGACATTTTTTTTAATACCTATTATATGTGAGTTAAAGTAGGAACTTAAACCAAAATCTCGGTCCTAGTCACCAGGCTGACTGGTTATTCTCTTGTGAACCATTTCCTGATGAAACCTTTAATTACAGTAATCAGTTATTTATTGGCATGGTCATTTGAAGTGAATAAACTGAGCACCCACAGTACAAAATTTTTTTACACAATTTTTTCTGAATTTTTGGACCAATGTATAATAAATTTATGCAAATCAGAATGGCTTCATCAGGATGGAGACTGAATTCAAATGCCTATAAAGTGCTTTATAACCCATCTCTGTCCAGAGAAGCTGTGGATGCCCCATCTCCAGAGGTGGTCAAGGTCAGTTTGGATGGGGCCCTGGGTAGTCTGATCTAATGAGTGGCAAACCTGCCCATGACAGGAGATTGGAACTGGATGGGCTTTAAGTTGTTGTCCAGTCCAAACCATTCTCTAACTCTGACATGGTATAAATATTCACCACATCTTCGGGATCAAATGTATGTTACACAGTTGGAATCCTTAGCTTTATTTTACCAACACAGTTCCCTGAAACACATAAACTGTAAGTTTTGGACTACACTCACTCATTTAGAGTAGCAACACTGACTAGATTTGGAGGTTTCAATCTGTATTCATTGCATAACTTACTTTATTTCACCTTTGAAATACGTCGGTTTGTAAAAAATGGATATAGCACACTATGAAATCTTCATGCAAAATGAAGACATTTCTGTTGTTTAGAAAGCTATGAAATCTTGCACTTTCCTCAAAGTGCGGGATTGCACATGGTTTGTACAAATTCTAGTTGTGTCAGCAGTGACAGGAAACCAAGTGCTATCTGCTACGTGTTGAGTGCTGAAAGTGAGATGAGATGGTAGTTTCTTCCATATTCCATGGCAAAGTATTTGTGATTCTGAGCAAAAAAAAATACTTGTATGTGTTGTACAGACTTCATTTCTCAAGTAGACCTCTAGCCTAAGATTTACTGAAGGTAAACACATTGCCAGATTTCCCTGGAAGAAGGAATCTGTATTCTTCAACTTAACCCAGGGAGTTTTTTTTTTCTGCAAGCTATTAAAATACACTGTTTTGTCCAGCTGTATATTGTTCTGCTTTACTGTAAATGTTACTGTCAATGGAAACAGCATCCCACAATCTTCTTTGGAAATCTTCCCTTCTGGGTAGTATTCTCTCCAGCTTTCATCTAGCAGGTGGAAGGTATTATAAGAGTGGGAGACTCCCAGAATGAACAGGATAGGACTTGTTTTCAAGCTATTCTGTGGTAACTATTAACATATACAATATAATGATACACTGAAAAATATTAACATTCAAGCTAACGTACTGAATATGTCAGCTTACCCCAATATCCCATGATCTTAAATTCTGCCTTGAGTGTCATTAGCGTAATACTTCTGATGTTGTTTTTCTGTGCTGCCAGGAAAAAATGATGCAGTCTAAAACTGAATTATAGCTGGATGCTAAGAGTAATGCAAAGATCTAATTCCATTTTCAATGTTGTTCATTTAACATACAATAATTGTAGCAGACTAAAAAGTCTGGCACTGGATACGTTCCCATTAGCTAAAATATTTTACATCCCTAAAGTACATTTTCTGAAGGTTCTTTGCATCTACAGTGTATAGAATTTACCAAGCAATTTCAAAACTTATGTACAAATTGCTGAAATCTGCATTTACAGTAGCTGAAGTGGTCTTTTGTTTTGTTTTGTTTTTCCCCTGCACTGCTTAGATAAGCTAAGCGTGAGAGCAAAGTTTCAGGTATTCAGTATTGAATTTTCAGTTCAATATTTTCCTCATTCTGCATGACTAAATATAAAGTACAAAATAAATCATGCAATCACTTAAAGAGTTTTCTTTTTATATCTGAGCATGAAGACTGAAGGATTTCAACTGTTGTTTTTAACAACATCTGGAACCTCTGAAGCACTTAATATGCATTAATTTGTATTTGACCCTGAGATGTTTAATGTGGTCCACCTCTGAGATCAAATAAAAGGTTTTATTGGAAGGAGTGGAGGAGGAAAAGGGCTGCTATTAGAGCATGGTGTTTACTGTACATATTCTTAAAAACGAAGAGATGTAATTAAATTATCTTGAAAGTCTGGTCAATTTAGCTCTTCTTATTCAGCCAATTGTGCCATCAGTGAAGCATGCACAACTTTCATTGAACCAAACAAGAATTGCATGTGTTTATTTGAGAACAAGATTTCTCTCTTTTTTTCTGCATGCCTGTATAGGATAATAATTAAATTGAAGCTTGCAGCTAGCAGTCAAGTATTTTGGTTAACCAGCATATCATGGTAAAATTAAAGGATCAAATCTAGACCTTTCAGCTCATGGTGAGGAGAACAGCTATACAGGAACTCAAGCTGAGAACCGAAGAGTCTGCCCCTGACCAAACCTGTATTCTTTTGCAACCCACTGCCTTATGCCATTTCTGGTTACACAGACCCCTCAGTTCAGCTCTGTGTTTTCTCTGTGGATTAAAAATGCACAGGTTATGTGAAAATTACAAAAGTGACAAACAAACCTAAGTGAAATTTAAAAAAGAAAAAATTTTCCTGAAAACTCGATACTTTACACAAAGAAGTTTCTAAGACCACCAACAGTCTTCCCCTACAAACGCTGCTCAAAATATGTTTGAAAGTGGAAAGTTTTCTTTTTTTTTTTTTTTTCCCAGTTATAGATTTTTCTGTGCTTGTCAGAAGGTAAACACACCTGGCCCCTCCATATTTCTGTCTGCATTTTGGGTATTTTTAAAGAAAATCACACTACTGGAATTTGTAAGGAGCAGAAAACACCATTCCAAGCAGACTAATTACAAAGAAACCCACTGTCCTTCCCCTACTTTCCCTTAATACCTTAAGCTTTATTCACATCATAATTCAACCACTGTTGCAGGAGTGGATCTGTATAACTTTTCTGCAAGCATCAAAACAATACAACAAATAGGTTGTTCTTCAAGACATGCACTGTATGCCAAAGTAAAAAAGTTCCACCAGCACTGCCCACTTTATAATAGGTACAAACATACTTTCTTATGACAATAAAGGCAGTGTAGTAAGAAAATGGAGTTGTAGAGAATGTTATTTTCTCTCTCATGTAGATGTCTTTAGATACCAGCTGTCCACTGCAAAGCCTCTTTAGGAATTAGAAAATATGGAATGATTTGCACTGATCAGACTGGGAGCGCATGAAACAATGGTTTTATTCCAGCAGAATTACAGATCCATAAGGAAGATTTATTAGTGGGTGAATAACTCCCAGACAGCTCTTATCACAGACAGGCATGCAGAATGCAGGAAGACAAACTAAGCAGAATTCCCTTCACTGAATTTTCAATGATGCCCTTGATTATAGATAGCATTGTTTACCCTCTCTTCTCTCTCCAACTTCGCTCTTCCACTAGTCTCTAATTATATCCCTTTACGACCTGACCAATTAAAGCCTGCTCTTGGATTTGTATTAGAGTTGATGAAAAATTAAAGACACAGATGTACTTTTTCCAAGGCCATGCGCACCTCAGCAGAGCAGGCTGACTGCAAGAAGTCAGACAAATACTAGTGTCACACTGACTATTTTTAGCATGCTATTAAATAAATATGCTGGAATAACACCACCTGGCAAGCTGAGATGAATGCATGTTACTTTAATAATAAAGGAGTCTACAATTTTATATTGTGAGAGTAAGATTACTGATCTGATCTGCAAATTGGTTTAACTTCTTGCTGCCACATTTAGGCTATTGATCATACAGGGAAGAACATTCACTTAACTAACAATTACTAAATTGCAATAGTCTAATAAGAGTTGACTATGCTTCTGTGTAACAAAAGGAAATATAGGTAGTACTTGGATAAATAATGTGTCAGTTGATAGAAAAATGGCATCTATTTACACATCATTTTAACACTGTCAGGTTATTTAAAAAGGGACTCAATATACTTGTGGGCACCTATTTTTCCCCCTGAAAAGAGAGAATACTAGTTTTCTTCACTGTATGTGCTATAGATTGATCTATTCTATTCTATTTTATTCTATTTTATTCTATTCTACTCTACTCTACTCTACTCTACTCTTCTCTACTCTATCCTATTCTATTCTATTCTATTCTATTCTATTCTATTCTATTCTATTCTATTCTATTCTACTCTATTCTTTTAATTTAATTTAATCTAATTTAATTTAATTTATTTGCATTTTAAATTTAATTCTAGACAATTATGTTTCTGGCCGTTCTTTATCCAAGACTGACTACACAATGACGTAGCGTCTTTCCAAAATCTATACTTTCTTTTCACTTTTCTGTTAGGGAAGAACTGTTTTTTTAAGTTAGCATGTTTCTTTGTTTTTTAAATCAAATTTCTCTGTATTTTGTTTTATTCTTTAATTATCAGCCAAAGTCAAAAAAAAAAAAAAAAAAAAAAAAAAAAAAGCCCAAAAAACAACAACAACAAGAAACCCAAAACAAAACAAAAACAACAACCAGCCAAACAAACAAACAAACCCCAACGCCTTATTTTCTCTCTATAAAGTTATAGAATGAAATAGCGATGCTTTCTGTCATTTCATATCAGCTCTATGTGTCTGTCTTCTTGGAAATACTGAGGCCATAAAGTAATCATTTTTCTAATAGACTTGTACTTCCCAAATTGTCCGTCTTAATGCAGTAGGAAACATTTTATATGAATGTAAAAATGTAAAACCAAAAAAACATAAAAGTTTTGTGCAGTTTTGCTTTCTTTCTGGAGCGTTACAAATTATACACCAAGTAGAAGCTGGTTAGTTTACATTCCTGGGTTGATTTGTTAATTATAGAAGCAATGTTCCATTCTATAGGAATCTGCTATATGCTGAAACTGAACTCTGATAAATGAATGAATATGACAGATAAGTAAATCATCATAATGTACTATAGGATGCACATTCTCATCTGCCCGCCTTCTGCTCTGAATTCTTTAATGCTATATACAAGGAACAAATTTTACTTGTTGGTTCTTGACAGTGATCCTAACTCCATATGTTTGTCCTCAATATGTGGGAACACTGATTGCCCATACACACAAAGGAAAGCAGCTCCTACACATAGACTGCAAAGTATTTTGGGACAGAGATCCACCCTCACAGCCAACCTAGGGGAAATATTTCTACCCTACAACGTATTTTGCTTGTAAATAACCCTGATTAACTCCTCCATCTCCATCAATTTTTCTAAGAGAGCAATGCCACCTTCCCCAGATACCTCCCCATCTCTATGTACTTATGTCTTTCATATTGCCTTTTGTTCCTCCTTCTCTGCACACAGCTCTTCCCCACACTATTTCCTGTTCCCCATGTGCCTTCTAAATTCCCCCAAGCTCCATTCTTCCCCCTAGATCCTTTAGCCATCTGGGGAACAGGAGGGCATCATGTCTTTGTCCCAGCCAGGCAAATGATCAGTAGTCAAAGGGACCAACAGAAAAAAAAACTTGAGATCTCAAGATGCAGATTTACCCTGTACCTATATTCCACTTTTTAAAAATATGTAGGAATTTAATGATTCTGAGATAGCTACTTGTTTCGAAGTCAGATGAAATTTATTACCTGATTGAAAATTTATTGAAGAAGATTTAACAGTGGACAGATGAACAGTGTAACTCATAAGTATCATTTCCCTAGGAAATCAGTCTATAACACTGTTTCATCTCTTCAGACATCTGCTCTAAGGGGTACAATGAAAGTTATTGAAACCAAATTTAAGAACATGCAAGCTGGTTACAACAGCTAACAGGCAACCAATAGTTACTATCCAAGTTGAAAGGATTACAAATGGTTAATGAAATGAGACTTCCTGACTTATTTAAAGATGCAGTTATCAAATGCTAGTACTAAAATAGCACATGTCAGAGCTGATGACATTATGCAGAATCACTGTGAAATTCAAAATAGTTCAAAGGCAAAGAACAACAACAACAAAAAAAGCTTACTTGCATTTACAGCTATTCCATAGGCAACCACCTTGTGAAATGCGATGTTTTTGTCAAGCTGTCTCCTTGGTGCTCCTCCACAGCACTTGGTAAAAAAGCAAAAGTTGTTTTATATCATTCCTATTACTACTTGCAACTTCCATTTTGGAATGGAGGTTATAGGAATTCAGTACATCTAAAACTGAAGTTCTGGTTCAAACTTAACTTTGGTGATCAAGTAACTGTTTTTGGTTTAACAGCACTCCAAGATTTCTTAAAACTATTCAGCTTATGTAGGGGCTCAAATTCAGGTTGGGCAAAACTGCTTTTGTCTGTGACACTTGAGCAGCTTATCTGAGCTGACAACTGATTTGCTGGAATAAGAACAGCAGAGCTGGCTGTGTTCACAACCAGGCTGAGCCATTGCTGCTTGCAAGCTCAGAAATTGCAATGAGAGCATTTTTATTGCTTTCAGGAAGTGAAGACACTATAGTGAGACTGTCTGTGTCTTAGGTGTTTGCATGCTTGTGTGATACTGAGCCTTATTCCTGTTACTGGATGTGCTGGACAGCTAGTTGTTCTGCACAGAGACCACTTGGGGCCGGGCTGGGCTGCATGAGCCAAACCCAACACTCTCTGCAGGAACCTCAGAAGCACCTGCAGGCCCATCTCAGCCTCTGAAATATGTGCTGGCTGGCTGGATTGCTTGCTTGGCCTGGCACAGTGCCGTGCCAAAGATCCTGGCATGTAACTATGTTGCTTCCCAAGTAATAAACCATCCAAAAATCTGGAGCACCACAGGGTGCCATGATGGGCCTCTGATGGGCACTGGTCCATGCTGGAACCAGAAAAGTTGCTCCCTGCCTAGTGCAGAATATTGTTTAGAAAATCAAAATACTGATAATTTGTGAGAAGGCTAGTACTTCTCCAAGTTCTTACTCAGTATTTAAGTGGGCAAGCAAATATTTTATATTAATTCACAAACTAGTTCAGAAATTCAGGACTTTTTTTCTTTTTTTTTTTTAATTCTCAGCTCCATTGGGCTCAAATAGTCAAAAAACAATGATGATTCCCTGTCTAAAGACTGGCTGAAATGTGACAGTACTTTAAAGGATAAAAAAAAAAAACCCACCAGAACTGAAAATAAGAACCATCTGACAATAAAATAAATTAATGCTGTGATTTTTAGATTCCAGTTGTTCTCAGAGTTGTGAAGTCATCAGTGATTTTTTATCCAAACATATGATATTGGAATTCTAATAGTTCTTATTCTCGTAACTCACTGCAAGCTGAAGCTATAGCTAGTAGAGCCATAAGTACTTCCTATGTGTGATGCCAAGGTTAATTTAAATGCCTCTGAGCAGAGGACTACTCATATACAGAGAACACATGCTTACAAGAAGGGAAGAACTAAATGGTGTCCACTCAGACAAAAGGGCTTAGACATGTTCCTTATTATACTTGTGACATGTTTATATGTACATTTCCTCTCACTTATTTTCTTTATTTTCTCTTTACAGCTACACAGGATACTCATGATATTTGAATATTCTCTACATTTGGCTGAGTTGCATTCTTACAACCCCTTTTTGTTGATCTTGACTTTTCACTTCATGGCACTGTGCTGTGTGGCTGCCAAAATCAGCGTTGCATTGAATGCTGTGTTAAACAAGTAATTTGTTTCTCCTCAGTCATGAGTACTGACAATTTAAATGGTAATAGCTAGGCAATAGTGTACAGACTTGTCTATCAAAACTTAAGATTCCTTGGAAAATGTTTGATATGGACAATGTTGTGGAACTACAGAAATGAAAAGGAGAGGATAATATGGCTATTTGAGAGATGGTACTTACAGCGCTTGCTCCTCTTAAGAATGAAATAAGATTTCTACTGACTGGTAACAGGATTAGCATGCAGTTAAAATTAAGGCACGTTGCAGAAGCTCTCGCCCAAGCCAAGGTTGACTGTGCATATAACAGTATAAAGAAATTAGATTACAAGTTTGGAACAGAAGATAAAAAAAATAAGGAAGAAAACACTACAGTAACACAATACTTTTATATGAGAAAATTACTGCTAAGCATAAAAAGAATATATCATAAAAAGATGTGAATAAAATCAGATTACACATTCATTCTTCTTGTGGAGCCTTTTAACAATCAAATTCATACTTACTCCCAGCATAATCCGTGTATAAATGTAAGCATCTTCATCTTCATACCAGCAGAAGGTATCAATAAACAGATATAAATTCAAGCCCAGCCACACCAACTACAAAGCAGATAGGCTGCAGATCAGTGAAACTAAGAATATTTTTTAATGCACATAAAACTAGGTATGGTTTGAAAAGTATCTGAGAAATACTTCAAAATCAGCGTGCAATGCATCTCTTGATCACAGATGATAGAAATCACAAATGCCTGCTGGAATGAGGCTATCTGTTAGCAAATGCAGGATTATAGCCCTATCCTCACGTCCCCAACAGAGGATACAGATGACATTTACAGTGTGGTGGTAAACTTGATCTTAAACACAAGGCTTAGCCTGGTATCTAAAAAGGCAATAAAACTTAAAATTAAAGAATTCCAGAAACAGAGCAAGATAGAAACTGAGGAAATTCCTTTCTCTACCCTTCATACCCATCTCACCAAAGCCTCTGAAAATGATATATAATACAATTTGAATTACAATGCCAATCTTCTCTTCCCTTTATCTGAGGTCTAAAGTATACAGACTTAGAAATAATTAAAACTAAAACAGTAAGACTTTAAATTGTTTTTAAGACCAGTTATAAAAAGGTTGCTGAATATTTTATAGCAAGCTTTACATTTAGCTCGGGAGTATTACTGTAAGCAAACCATAAAATGCCTTTAACAAGCTTGAAATATTTATATATATCCAATTAGGATTTTAACTCTAAATATACTCACTAATAATAGGACTGAGAGTTTTTCATTCAAAATCCAGCATGCCATTCTGAGTGTCTCTTCTAAGCTAGCAGCAGCTAAGTCTTGCCTTCCAGTGTAACCTGAGTTCTCTGTCCATTCCTCAGGCTTTTCTAGTAACTCCTCTTGTCTTTAGATGTGAATAAGCACGTAGTGGGAGCAGGAGCCCTCCAGGAATTTTCTAATTAAAATCTTCCTGACAAGAACAGATCACCCAAGTGACATGTCTCATGACCTGTGTAAATAAAATGCTGGTCATTGTCCAGTACTTCCTCTCTACAAAATTATTGTTCAGCAAATGAGAGATGCTGTCATTACATTGCTCTCTTTTTTTTACTGGCATTTATTTGTTGGTGGTGATGGGTTTGTTTTTTTTTGGTAGTATTAGTAGTAGTGGGATTTTTTGTTTGTTTGTTTGTTTGCTTTTCTTTCACTTTTTTGTTTGAGCAATATATAATGATTCTTCATGATACCTCTATTAATTTATGAGCAAAAGTGGGCATCCCTTATGTGCGTATAAGAGAGAATTTCAAAAAAGCCTATTGGAATTGTCAAAGTCGCTCAGTCAGGAGTCACAAATGTTAGAATAAAGTGTGACCCTATAACATTCTTCTGAATTTCTTGCAACTATGATAATGTTGAAATGCATGACTGTTTTTCATTCAGTTGACTGAGGGGATAAAATAAGCAGTTAATGTCCTGCTTAGAGAGTTTGGTGGAACTGTGGGTATAACATTCTTTCTCTCACTGCTAGGAGGAGAGAGGCAACAAGTAATTTCCTTCTGGTCTTCCCTGTCAAGCTTCACAAACAACAGCTGCATCCATCCATTATCGGTGAGGTGGGAATGTCTGTTTCAGAGGTCTTAGCACAGAAGAGTTAGGGAGAAGCCAGGTCCGTTTCCTGCACACACAGCTAGAGCAGACTTCCTCTTGGCTCTCAATTGCTCCTGACCCTGCTCCCACTTTTTGTCTACAAAGTGATGGCTTTGGCAACTCTTAAGGTACTCAGGAAATAAAATGCTCTTCCAAATGCAACACACAAACACTATCCAGGGCTAAAGCTTATGAATTTTTCCAGGATTTGTTTTTATTTACAAAACCAGATGTTCCTATTCATCCAAGTTTGTCTAAAGGATGTTCAACATACTTCCTTCTCCTCAGAGGTTTGCTCCAGTGAGGATTTAATGAACCACCTGCAAATACAAGTCAGCAGGACTCAGTACCTCTCAGCAAGATCAAAACCTTTTGACAGGTTTATCAGAGAATGATGTTGGTCTATCCAGGACTCTTTTTGTAAGTGGTTATTTGAATGTCCAGCACCATAATTATAATCAATGTGAAGAACACATTTTCTGATTTTCCTTTACTAAGAGAGAAGAATAATTCATTTCCTTTCCTGCACATGTCAAGAGGGAAATCCCTTCCCTTTGGTACATCATGTAACTGACAGTAGCTGATCCTCTTGGGGAAAGGAAGCTGATCCTGCTCATGCAGGCTGCTCTTAGATGAGATCAGCAACTTCTGAAGAAAGGTCCTGAACAGGTCATAGCTCCTATCTTGCCCTGCCATGATGGATGCTCTGCATTTGCCCGCAGATCCATTTTGCATCGGCACAGGCTGCCCAGAGAAGATGTGGATGCCCATCCCTGCATGCACTCAAGGTCAGGTTGGAAGGGGCCCTGAGCAGCCTGAGCTGGTGGGGGGCAGCCCTGCCCATAGCAGTGGGTTGGGCCAGGGTGGGCTTTGAGGTCCCTTCCAACCTAAGCCGTTCTGTGATTCTGTGACTCTTCGATAACTGTGCAAGCTCTGCCTGTGGTGATCTTCATCTTCCTCTGTAAAACCCATTCCATCAGGCCTTCCTGACTTGGCGCCAAAGACTTTCAGTTACAAAACAGCTTAACATTTCATTTTTTAAAGGTCAGTTGTTATTAATCTCAGCTTCTTTTTATTCCAGTACTAATGACCATTAACAAAGAGTTACTATAGAAACATGGTTTGGAATATTCTCAATGCAAATATTTACGAGAGATTTGTTTTGAGCACTATTTTTCTTAGATGGCACATTCCAGAATTATTTATTAACAAACTTTATGACAAGCCACGTGCAGTATTCAGCCACTGTCTATTACATGAGTTGATAGAGGTTATTCCCAAAACCACCTTATTTATAGTAGCTCTGATGATGCAGGAGCTATGAAGATATTTGATATCTTCATTTGATTTGATATATGAATATTGCTGTATTTTTTAGAGGGCAAAGGAAAAAAAAAATAAGGAAGAGGGGAAGAGTACACAGAGGATGAGGAGAAATACTGGTAAGGTCAGATGCCAATTTTAACTACTTTAAACGAGAGGGAGGGAGAAAGCCCACTATCAGGATTAGCTGCACTTCAAAGGGAAATGCTGCACTGCGATGCTCTGCTTTGAAGTACAGCCGATCCAGACAGCAATTTTCTAAAATGAGTCAAAACTGGCATCTGAAATAGATTTTTCTTTTTCTGAGTACAGCAGATTCATATGCTGGTTTAGGCTCCAAAATTTGTCTAGATCAGCAGCTGTACTTCAAAGCAGCACATCTCAGTACAGCATTAGGCTTTGAAGTGCTTGTGGTCCAGATGCCAGTGCTCTTAAAGGAGCCGATGAATCAACTGCACTTTGTTTTTTGTCTGCTGAAACAGCTATGCTTTTTCTCATATACTATGATAATGTGTGTGGTCTTCTGTATGGTATCTATCAATAAAAACATAATGCTAACACAAAAGCTCTTTATTGCTACATTTTCTAAAAACGAACAGATCATCACCATTTTATTATACTGATTTGCAGTGATCTCAGCCAATTTCTAGTGCAAACTATTCAGACAAGACTCAAGGAAGGATATTTTGCTGAACCATGTTTCATTTTTTTTTCATTGTATTATTGTTATCGTGAGATGAAATTGTCCTAAAAAAGGCAAGGATGAAAATGGTTTTGTTCTGGCAGATGAGGAAAAAGCAGGGTTGGGCATGCTGAGTTTCCATGCAAGAGGCAAGCAGGTCTGTCATTAGCCTGAAAGGTCAGTTTTTGCATGGAAAGAGGTTTATGAGGTGCTGAATTCCTCCATGTAAGTAACTCAGCTTTAATGCTGATGTTTATATCAATTACTGCTACAGATCTCTATTGCAGCTAGTTCTGTTTGACAGCAATCTCTGTCTGAGGTTGTTAGCAATTTTGTAAAGTACTTTGAACATTTCTTGCCCTTAACAAAACAAATTAATTATTAACGTGATACTATGTGTACCTATATGTATTTCGTTTTGCTTGACTGTCCTAATTTTACTATTAGCTGTGCATGCCTTGTTTCTCAAAAGCAAAACCATTTCAGTTGACTCTGAACTCTGCCCTATGCCATTCATAGTTTTTCTGTGTGCCTGGATTTACTTCTGTAACCTCGATTAATTCAGTAAACTTCACTGTGCTACATCAAGAAGTGGATGCATGTGAACAAGTAACCCAGAGGTTCAGGATACTTCAGTTTTGCAGGCTTTCTGAAAGCCGTTCTTATGCTGGCTGTATCAGAATGTACACTTTGTATTAGACTATAGCAGATGGAGGAGTTATCTAATTTGTACATTATTTTTATAAAAATATTCCTTATAATGTCTAACAATTAGAGGGATGTTTGTCTGGAATGGATGAAAGACTCACACAATCTAATTGATGAACCGTTCAGATTTTGTGGAGAGAAAAGCTGCTGATGCTAAATACAGTGGAACTTTTTTCCTTTTTTCTTTTGAAGACAGTTTGGATGAACACAGGCCAAGGTTCAGCTTTGGTTGTTCTCCAACACCCTAATTCCAGTTTTGTAAAGAAACTTATTGAATATCTATAAACAGTGGCTGAGTAGTTGGTAGCAGAAAAAAAGCTAAATCATTTTTAGAGATTTTCTTATAGTTTTTTTAAGTGCCTCATTAATGTTAATGGATTTTTATTTAATGGACTGTACTCACATTACAGATGAAGGAACTGTTTTGCAGTCTGAGAACATTCAAGAAATCTCTAAAGCTCTAAAAGACTGAAGTAATATTAGCCTCATCAGTGTCAAAGATTCAAAAATCATCAGGTTGTTCTAAAACTCATGAAATTAAAAAAAAAGAGTGAGGACTTTGGGGACAGTATTGACTACATTTGAAAACTTCAAGGGCACCTGGCCCCTTATTTACAGCTTTTTTCAGTAACCACATGCTCATTTTTTAACCAAATATATGAATCCTATTAAAAATATTGGCTGCATAAGTAGACTTGAACAAAAATAATTGTACAATTATCAAAATGCTTGTGATACAGGTGCCAGAATTAGCAATAATGTAGCAGGTATTGACTGCTGGTTGCCTCTGTACTCTGCTTATGATCAATTGCCTGGATCAGGGCCCCAGTGCTTTCTTAATTTCCTGAACTTGCTTTTATGGACAAAAACTATATGCAAGCACTGTGTCTATAATTGTAGTCATTGTTTAAAATGAAGAAGATGGAGAGAAGGACTTCTATGTCTGTGTAGAAAATAGGAATTAAGCTTCAGAAGTCCTTCAAAAGAATAAACCTCTTTTGTTCCTATGTCTAACTCCTCTTGAACTCCAGACCAGTCAATGTTCAAAAGTAATTTGTTTCAATAAGTGCCAAAATCTCCCTGCTCTTGATAATGCATCTCCAGAAGCAGAGCAGCATACCTTCCTAATTACATGTGGAAAATACTGGTTTTCCCACACGAGATGATTTTCAGCTAATAAAGCAAAACTAACCCCTCAAAGCAGCAGAAATCTTGTAAAAACAAACAAAACAACAGCAATAAAATCAATCCACAAGATGTGTGCACAGGTTATCCAGATGGATTTGTCTTTTACTGGTTTTGTAAGTAGCAAGCTGTGGAACACAAATTAAAGGTGAAGCAACACTTGGGAAGAGCAAGAAGCAGGAGAAACAAGGGGATGCCAGTACAATCCATGTTTTATCTAGTGTCAGCAGACTTGAAAAATCCCATCATAGAAGATGTA